GGGGGGGGGGGGCGGCTTTCTCCCACAGACAAAATGGCTTTGGCATTAAACACTATGGGTTTACATTCTCATTCTTTTATTGAGGTTTTGCACAGATTCTATATGATGCTTTTCTCACCAGCGATTCCTTTGGTATTACAGATTCAAGCTAGGTCACCTAGCACAGAGGCAGGGCTGCTTGCCCTACAGCCAATACCTGCCGAAGAGTCCTTTCTCACTCTTAGTCCCAGTCACATTTGTTAGCTTTTACTGTTACATAGCAAATAGATCAGTGTGAGAAGCACAAAGTGAAACGATTTTCCTCTACTTTCAGGGGAATGTCTCAGTTACACCAAAACATGAGAAGTCTAAAACCAAAAATTACTAAGGTAGCCTGCCCCTGAGTCTTTGTAAGATTTATTCCCCATCCTCTGATGTTCACATGTCTTACCAAGGCCTCCAACTTTCTTACATTTTTTGCTCATCTATGTAATTAATATGATGGCATATACATAATAGAACACTGAGATCTTATGTCCAGACAATCTTGGACCCTTTGGAGATTATGACAGAAAGTGAGAGAATAACTTCACCCTGAACAAGACAATGTATGCTCAGTCACTTCAGTCTTGTCCAGGCCTTTGCCACCCCGTGCAGCCTGCCAGGCTTCTCTGTCCATGAGATTTTTCAGGCAAGAATACTGGAGTGGGTTGCCATTCTCTTCCTCCAGGGGGTCTTCCCAACCCAGGGATCTCCTGTTTTGCAAGTGGATTCTTTCCCATTTAACCATCAAGGAAGCCCGAACAATACAATAAAAATTAATGTGTATTATTGACTATTCCATGAAGGTAAACTTATTTCTTATATGGATAAAAATTTATTCACTAAATAAATTTCCTTTCATAATTTAACTGAGACTATGCTGATGTGCTGTAGTACTTACTACATTCAAATCAACAGCTAAAACTGAAGGTACTTCTTGGTTGAGTTTGAGAGCATCCTCTAATCGACAAGAAGCCATATAATTTTTACCAAGGAAGGACTTATGAGCTACATGAGGCTTGTATGGGAACCACCACCATCATTCATATATTTAAGGGTAGCACTAATCCCTGTTATGTTCTACCTACTCCTAGATTATGATATTGTTTTTTAGTTACCATCTTTGCCAGGGAAAGGGCAGTTTCAGAGACTAACACTTGGCCTTTACAATAGGCCAAGGAACTAATGGAGTTTTTCCAACAACAAAATATATCCGGTGTGGAAATAGATCATCATGGAAATTCTTATAAAGTGGGATTGAGATGACTAGACCAAAAGTGAGGGAGACCTGAGCTAGGACTTCATTTATTTCACCTGGCCTCTGTAAGCCCTAAAGCTGAGACGTGGCGATGTTTCAGACTCAAGTAATTAATTTTAACTTGAAGTCTGTATTTGGCTGTTATCAAAATACCCAATTTCCCTTTCTTACACTGATAACCTGCGAAAGAAAATGATCTAAGTTTTCTTTGGAGAAAGACCTATTGGGGAATTACTGCCATGTACACATTCTGTAGTATTACTTTCTTCTGCTTCCCCATGAGGATGCAGCCACTTCTTCAGATAATGGGCTCTGGATCTTTCAGAATACCTCAGCTCTGAGCACTGGGCATGGGCTCATAACTTCTTATTGAAATGGTGGCCCTAAATTTCCAGATCATGAATGTTTTAATTCTTCCAATTGTACAAATTGTGAAACACCCAAATTAGCTGTCCATATATCTTATATATGGAATAATGTGTCCTAATAACCACCTCTGTAAACCAGGCATTAGCAGCTGCTACTCCGACCATGTTGCTCATTACAGTGTTTCTTCTTTCTGGCTTTAAAGTGCACAAGTGTCCTCATATTGATATCCTATTACCTCCATTATAATGTGTGTGTGCGAAGTCATGTCTGACTCTTTGAGACCCCATGGACTGTAGCCTACCAAGCTCCTCTGTCCATGGGATTCCCCAGGCAAGACTACTGGAGTGGGTTGCCATTTCCTTCTCCAGCGGATCTTCATGGACCAGGGATCAAATTCGCTGCATTGGCAGTCGGCATCTTCACCACTAGTGCTACCTGGGAAACCCCCGCATTACATCTTATATATGGAATAATGTGTCCTAATAACCACCTCTGTAAACCAGGCATTAGCAGCTGCTACTCCGACCATGTTGCTCATTACAGTGTTTCTTATTTCTGGCTCTAAAGTGCACAAGTGTCC